TCTATCTATCTATCTATCTATCTATCTATCTATCTATCTATCTATCTATCTATCTATCTATTAGAAAAATACTAAAAGGAATCCATTTAAACCGAAATCTGCAGGACCCCCGGGTTTTTGGTGTTGAGAGGTTGCACAAATAGAAGAAAACAAAACGGGGATTTTCTTTTCTTTCGGTTTATCGCTATGTTCGGGTTAACCATGTTCCGCTTAAGTGGAGTCCACCGTTTTCACATAATTAGTCACAGCTTTGCAAATCCATACAAAGGAAGCTCTGCCGTTGATTTGCTGCTATTTGTGGTATCCCTAAGTGTATAACGTGTTTGCGATTAACGTCCCAATTCACAGTATTCGTTGTTTCAGAGGCAAGACCTTTGAATTTAAGGCCCGTCTCCGATAGGATCGAGCCGAAGGGGTAGAGAGTCGTGAAAACTCCACTACATAACCCGAGTTTAAGAACGCTCAGTTTGGAATTCGAACCACGGCCATCTGATCTGCAGTTCCTTATGATACAAACTGAGCTAATGGAGCACCCGTGGTATCTACACTTACACGAATATACACATATATACAAGGATGATAATTGTGGGATGAGACAGCTGCATTGGAAGGGGAAACGTACTTCTTCATTGAGCATTATGTAAGAAAAGTAATACAGGTAAGAAAAGTAATTGAACATACGTAAGAAAAGTATACTTTAAAAAAGTACGTAAGGCAAGTAATACATAGGTTTAAAAAAAGTAACAGAAAAGTAAAAGAAAAGTAAAACATACGTAAGAAAAATAATACATACATAAGAAAAGTAATTGAAAATTAAAAGAAAAGTAATTGAACATGTTATGTAAGAAAGTAATATATACGTAGAAAGAGTAATATATAGGTAAAAAGTAACTGAAAAGTAAAATAAAAGTAACTGAACATACGTCAGAAAAGTAATATAAAATTCAAATAACAAATCAGTAGTCATCGGTGACTGTGGTGTAGCAGTTTGGCCACAAGACCTGACTTCGACTCCTGAGGGTGGGGAAAATTTTATCGAATATAACAATAACATTGATCTTTCTGTTGGGACGTTGCATCCCTCTCAACCTGGGTAGGCCTTGACAGGCAAGGTCGAAGCCTGCCTCCTGCCTAAATTATTTGAATTGTATCGATGGGAGCGTAAAAACATCTAAGCAAATAAATTAAAAAACCAACCCCCCCCCC